ATACGGCGAGGGATGTGAGGTGACTACCCACCACTGGCAAGAAGCAAAGACAAAAGGCTTCCAGGTCCAAACACACTGAATACTAACCCTTAAAAGGTAAGCCCCAGAGCTCACACTTCTGACAGGCACACCCACATGATTCTTCTGCACACTAAAGCTTGATTGAGAAGCACAGCCATAAAAAGTTCCTCTGATCAATAACCATGATTTCAAACACTGTTACCAAAATCTCCGTGCAGATCTGAGCCAAACAGAATCCAGTTACAGGTAAGAATGCAGTTCCTCAGAAGGTACTTAGCAGTCACTGTTATATAACTCGCACAATCAGTAAGAATACGTCTTGTGGCAATAACCTCTTTTTATTTACTAATTTTCAAACTTTCACACAAGATGAAATTTAAAAACTGACTTTCAATACATAAATGGATATAGATGTAAGATTTATCTTATGGGCCGGTGCCGCGGCTCACTAGGCTAATCCTCCGCCTAGCGGCGCCGGCACACCGGGTTCTAGTCCTGATCGGGGTGCCGGATTCTGTCCCGGTTGCTCCTCTTCCAGTCCAGCCCTCTGTTGTGGCCAGGGAGTGCAGTGGAGGATGGCCCAGGTGCTTGGGCCCTGCACCCCATGGGAGACCAGGAAAAGCACCTGGCTCCTGGCTCCCGCCATCGGATCAGCGCGGTGCGCCGGCCGCAGCGCGCCGGCCGCGGCGGCCATTGGAGGGTGAACCAACGGCAAAGGAAGACCTTTCTCTCTGTCTCTCTCTCTCACTGTCCACTCTGCCTGTCAAAAAAAAAAAAGATTTATCTTATGGCTTAACTTTCACATGGGAGTGTTAATGGGCTAATACATTATCTGGTAGCTACAGAGGACAAAAGCACATCAGAGTCCTGGCTGCTCCCTTTCCCATTCAGCTTCCTGCTAATGCCTCTGGGGATGCAGTGGAAGATGGCCCAAGTGCTTGGGCCCCTGCCACCCATATGGAAGACCTGGCTGGAGTTCCTGGCTCCTGGCTTTGGCCTGGCCCAGACTTGCCTCTTGTGAACAACAGATGGAAAAATCCTGATTTCTGTCTCTCCCTCTCTGTTGCTCTGCCTTTCAAATAAATAAATCTTAAAAAAAAAAAAAAAGATGTGTGTGTTGGGGGATGGTCAGCATTGTGGCATTAGCAAGATGAAGCTGTCACTTGCCACGCTGACATCCTATACTGGGCCACTGGCTGGAGTCCTGGCTGCTCCACTTCTGATCCTGCTTGCTAATACACCTGGGAAAGCAGCAGAAGATGGCCCAAGTGCTTGGGCCCCTGCATCCAAGTGGGATGGAAGACCCAGATGGAGTTCTAGGTTCCTTACTTCAGCCTGGCCCAGTGCTGACTGCTGTGGCTTTTTGGAGAGTGAACCAGCAGATTGATCTCTCTACTTCTCCCTCTCTCTCTGTCACTCTGCCTTTCAATTAAATAAAATAAATCTTAAAAAAAGAAATAACATAAAAAAGAATGAAAGCATATACTCTCTGACAAGCACAAATATATCATGACTTTGAATGTTTGCAAGCCAACTTTAGGGGTCCATGAATAAAGACCACACTATCAAAATACCAAAGAAAAAATAATCAACAGACAAAACTAATCACTCAAAATTATAGGCGGTCCTATATCCACAGTCACTGCACACTAAAACCCTCCTAAAGGCACTCTCAAGAAATCAATCAAAGGCCCCTGGAACTATTTTAACCTTAAGAAAATTAACCTGAAGTCAGTTCCTTCACGTACTGTATAATTAGTGCAAAGACATTTATTTTGGTTCTATCGGTTGAACACATACTTAGCTCATTAGCCCCCAGGTACATACACATAAAAGGGAAGACACTCAGTGTATGTTACACTGGGAAAAATTACAAGCTGGAGATTTAACATTGCTGGTCCAGGAAACTTTCCATCTGCAGTAAAATGTGGTGCCCACAGGGCTTGTTACTACTGTAACACCAAGCCTCACAGCACCCTGTTTCCCAACCCAGCCAGAATCTAGTCAGTTCTGAAAGGGGAAAGGACAAACTGAACCATACTGGGCACTTAGTTTAACAATTGTTCCAAGTTTCAATGAGCACAGAGCCTTGATAAGCAGACTTATCAAGACAAACACAAATAAACTGATGCTCTCACTTGAGGTCAACCTTGTATCCCATTAAATCTCAAAGTTATTCTTTCACACAAAGTTACTCTATTCTTGCACAAAATTGTAGTCTAAGAAAATTGGAATCACACAATTTGTAAGGGAAGTGTCTAAAACAGGAAAAGTCTTAAACAGTAACTATCAAGGTCCAGATAGCCTCCTGTGACTTAACCAAAGGGCACCTACACAAGGACAACTGCCCTGCCCCTAACGCTGACTCCACTGGCCACTTCATCAACATGCAAAGCCTTCCCAGGATAGGGAGGTGAACTTAAAGAAGCTAAGTTGGAGACGGAAGAAAAGCTTTAAAGAATGTTCATTACCTAAAGAATACTTTAGGAAAATTAGCATCAAGATTCAACAAGTAGCAGGCAGAGATCCCCCTCAAGAATCACATCTGTCTGTATTTCCTCCTGTCACTGGAAAACCTATGCAGAAGATGCAGACTTCGGAAGAAAGGAAAGAGAAAGAAAGAAACCGCATTGAGGTTTAGAAGTCGTAAAGAGTTTACCAACCAGCTCAGCTCTGTGTTGCAACTGTCACTACTTCATTATAGTATCAGAGAAGTTTCAAAGAATTTGGAAATCAAAATACCTTCAGTTGGAAGGGTGAGAAATCAATGCCAGGAAGATTTCCGATCATCACTACCTCTTAGGGAGGTCTTTTAGGCTAGGACGGTTTTTTCCCCAGCCCACTAAAAGACAGAAAACTCTCCACTCACCACTGAGGATGTGCCAAAAAGTAATGTCTTTTCTTTAGAAGGAAAAGACTCCCTGGGTTCCCAGCAGGAAGCTGGACCTGAGGCAAAGTCCTTGGATCTGTCCTAGGAGACCATCTGAGGACTCCCTTGCAGCACCCGGCTTCCATCTGGGCGCCAAAGGAGAAGCCACCAACTCTGTGTGCTGCATGTATACATCCACAGATCACAGAAGCTGTATCCTCCTGCAGAAGTATTTGTTAGTTCCTTAAGGGCTTTAAAGAGTAAATTCTTTAGATCTGGATGATAACTTTCTAATTTTTAAATACTTTAGTCGTAAATTTACAAATTAAATGGCTGGTTCCAAAGTTAACTTCGAAAGAGAAAGGAAAATGACAGTTTGAAGAGTTTCTATCAGAAGGAAACATCAGCTACAGACTGAGCGATCTACAAAGAAAATAATTCGATGCCCAGGTACAAGAAATCAAAAAGTCATTATTGCATTCTAAATCTGAATACCTTGTCTCCCCCCATCACCACCAAATTAAGAACGTATTGCCAGAGAATGCTAGTAAACAGTATGTGGGACATGAATGAAAAAAAAAAAAAAGCATCTGTTTACAGAAGGACAGTTGCTTCAATGGGCTCCTCTTTCTTTCTTGAGGTGGAGTTACAATAGAGTAAGAATGTCAAGGAGAAGGGCAAGGGCACCAGATGAGCAGACTTGCAGACTAAAAGCCAGACTTGCAAGATATTATCTGCCTGCAAACTTTGGGCAAACCTACTCTTTCACTAGAGGAAAGCCTATGGTTGCAGATCAGACAGAAAAAATGAGAAAGACTTCATGTTTGCAAATCCACGCATGAAGGGAAGGGGTAAAAGTGAGAAAAATATGAATATACAAAACAGATTCGATAAGAAACACAGATTTGAAGACTGCTGAGGAGAACGAAGACAATGAGAGCATAAACTACCCACATGCCAACCAGCGATCACTATATGAATTTTAATACAGAGTACAAAAAATGCAAATGCAACGCAGAGATTAGGGTCGTGGAGGAGGTGTGCACAGAAATCGCAAGACAAGGCAACATCCTTCGAGAGCTCCAAGTGATGCAGCGGGGAAGTAAGGATGAAGGCAGGAGTTGGGGGGGGGGGGACTGCAGCAGGAGAAGAGGGTGGGTTGCAGCAGCAGCAGGGGCCTTAGAAAGAGAAGGAAGGGAAAGCAACCCAGAGGAGAGAACAGGATAGTCAAGTGCGATTTCACAAGAGGACAGAGTAGGAGAGGAAATGGAGAAGGGGATATTCGAAAAAAGCGGAAAGGTCAAAGGCCAAAAGGGGGTTGCAGTCCGGGGCAAGCAGGAGCGTGGTGCAGGAGTGAAGGCAGGGGGATGTGCTCAAGGAGACACTCGACTCAAGATCAGGGTGAGGACTCGGAGCACCCAGCTGAGAAACTAATGTCCACCTCCGCCCTCCCCCAAACGCATGCAAGGTCTACACTCCTGGGGGCTCAGGAGAGGGACATGAGGTGGGATGGAAAAATACAGGGGTGCTTAACCATAGGCAGGGGGTGAGGGGGCGAGAGAGGCACGAAAAAGGAGCGGCATGGGAGAGACGCTGTTTCCGGAGTTCGAGTAGGAGCAGACCGGAGGTCCTGCTTGCTTGGGCGAGGACGGAAGGGACAGTCCATAGGGGCTGAGGGCAGTGGTGGTGACCAAGAAACTATGATGCTGAAGGGGAACTTGGGGAGGACACGGTACCGGGTTCGTTAGGAGGAAGACGAGAGTGAGGAGCAGCAAGCAGCGTGCCAAGGGGGAAGGGGTGGGGGGTGGGGGGCAGAAGAAAGCCAAAGGGAAGTGGGCAGGGGCAAAGGCACTGGGGGGGGGGGGGGGGCCACGGCAGAAAACCGGAGAGCACGGGGAGGGGAGTGGGAGTCACAGAAACCCGCGGGCGCAGGAGGGGTCAACCCACCAGGAGGTGCCAGGCAGCGGAGGCCAGGAGGGGGTGAGGGTCCCGAGGGCTGGCTCGGGGGTTGGGGGAGGTGCGGCCTCAGGGTGACAGGGGCAGAGGGGAGACGCAGGGACAGGCGGAGGGGGACGGGGAGGGTGGAGCGGCGCGCGACCCCGATACTCACACCTCCAGGATGCGGTCCCCCTTGCGCACCCCGGCCCGATCGGCCGCCCCCCCGGGCAGCACGGCGCTCACATGCTGCAGCGGCGCGTACAGCTCGCCGTTGATGCTCCGCAGTTGCCCGCCCTCGCTCACTTGGCCCCGCACGTTGAAGCCGTAGCCGGACTCGGACTTGACGATGCGCACGACCCGCGGGCCGCCGCCTCCCCCGCCGCCGTTCCCGGTGCAGTGGAGCCCAGAACCCCCACCGCCGCCGCCACCTCCGTTCCTGTGAGGGGCTGAGGGGTGAATCCCTTCCCCGTCCTCGTCCGCCATCTTGCGAGCAAGCGAGCCGTACCCCCGCCCCCCTACGCCTCCACTCCCTCCCAGCGCGCGCTCGCCCTTCTCAGCAACCGCGCGACCCCCGACGCGCGCGCCCGCTCCGCAAGCCGCGGGACCGAGTCGGCCACGGAGCCGCTCGCTGAGGGAAAAGGGGAGGCGAGGGGCGGGGGCAAACGGAGGATTGGGCACCGCGAGGCCTCCTGGGAGGTGTAGTTTGGGGCTGGTGGGGGGCGGGGCGGAGGCTGGGTCCGGGCCTGAGCGGAGGTTGTATGACGCATCCAGGGGCACAGCCTGCTGGGAGTTGTAGTTTACTTCTGAAGGATATTTTAGCATTTCATCTGTTGGTTGGAGAGCAGCTAACCCAGTACAGAGCGTGGCGAAATGATTCAGCTGATGCCGAGGGGCAAGCTTATTTCATCCCTTTCATCTCGTAAATTAGTGTTTGTGATTCGACGCAGTCTTAAATTACATCAAATCATTTGCTCAAGAACTCCTGTGTTCCCATACATAACTTTATTGGATGGCCCCAACAACCTTGAGAGACAACTCGACCGTGAATCAGTTTCCCTGTTTCACATAATAGGAAACTGAGCCTCAGAGTGCCTGAAGTCATCCAGCTATTAAGTAACAGGAACTAAGGCCCAGTTATTTTTGCGCAACTTTCTTTTCGTGTATTGCAAACACAGAAAAACTATGCCCCAGCTACATGAAAAGCATATGGGAGAGAAGACTACAATCTCAGTGATTTGGAACTGGATGTGAGGATGGGGAGTAATAATTTCAATTGAGCAATAATTCTTTTAAAGAGATTTATTTATTTATTTGAAAGTCAGTTACAGAGAGAGAACAGAGAAATCTTCCATCTGCTGGCTCACTCCCAAAATGGCCATAATGACTAGGGCTGGGCCAGGCCAAAGCCAGGAGCCAGGAGCTTCTTCTGGGTCTTCCATCTGGGTGCAGGGGCCATCTTCTGCTTTCCCAGGAACATTAGCAGAGAGCTGGATAGGAAGTGGAGCAGCTGGGACTCAAACCACTGCTCATATGGGATGCCAGTGTTACCAGTGGCTTAACTTGCCGCACCACAGCACCAGCCCCTGAGCAATAATTTTGAGGTTACCCCCAACCGCACAAGCAGTTCTTTGCAAATGAGAACAATCGATTTTTTTTGACCACCTACCAGAACACAAATTTTGCATATTGTGGAGTGACTAGTAAAGGCAAGGTAGATCAAGGGTAAAATTAACCAAAATAGCTTCCTTAAGCAATTACTACTCAAGTAGTAATTTTACCCTACCCATAGGGTAATAAATGTTACAGTTTTATGGATGCTATAGAAAATGTAAGATTCCTGGGTCGGAAATAAGGGGCTGTTATGACACAGGAAGCGAGATGAGCTGCAGCACGTCTGTGTCAGTTCCCCTCACTCCCACCAAGTCCCACAGAGAGGGAACGAAGGACTCAGGTGAATACTGTGCACTTGGATTTTCTTACCCCGAGAAACACTGAGCATGAGGAAGCTGCAGCTTTACAAGCAGCAGGAAGCAGATCTGCTCTTGGTCCTGGGGAGAGACATTACTGCATCCCTCAAAGTTGGTTGCTGAAAAATGACCCTGGTAAAAAACAAACAAACAAACAAAAAAAAACCTTTCAGGGGGACCAGTGCTGTGGCATAGTGGGTTGAGCTGCCTCCTTCAGTGTTGGCACCCCATACGAGTGCCCATTTGGGTCCCCACTGCTCCACTTCCAATTCAGCTCTCTGCTGGAACGCCTGGGAAAGCACTGGAAGGTGGCCCAAGTGCTTGGGTCCCTGCACCCATATGGAAGACCCGGAAGAAGCTTCTGGTTCTGATTTCTGTCTGGCCCAGCTCTGGCCATTGCGGCCATTTGGGGAGTGAGTCAGTGTATGGAAGATCTCTCTCTCTGTGTCTCTCTCCAATTCTCTGTGTCTCTGCCTTCCAAATACAATAAAACAAAATCCTTTTTAAAAGTTCATGGAAAATGGAATTAAAAGAAGAAAACAGAAAGCATTCAGGAACTTGCATTCTTGGCACACTCAGGAAGATGGGCAGAAGCATGAAGGACCCCCAAAGGACTAGCGCCTACCACTTCTAAGCACTTTATATCCATAATCTCATTCAATCTTCACAGCCTCAAAATGTCTCCTAATTTATAAAGGAATAAACAGGCATGGAGAGGTGGTACAGCTAATAAACAATGAATGCAGGACAGGCAGAAGACTTACAAAAGCAACAAACAACCCCCTGAAAGAACTGAGGGACTCTACAAGGGTTTCCAGGAATTTCTCAGGGAGGAAGGGACCTAGTAAGAGAATTGAGATCTCACAAAATATGGGATGATGATTCAAAGTCATTATAATTAGAACATAAAAATTAGTGTGACCTTATTTTCCAATGAAGCTAATGAAGGAGGACCTTGATTAGTTAAGCAAATATGGAAAGTAATAAAGTAGGAATAAAAATTCTGCTGCAAAATAACAGTGGCATTGGGTTGAATCATTTGGTTTGAACTGAGCTCTGAGTGGGAAGGGACCTACCTACTGCAGCACAGCATCAGAGAGGGGAAAAAGAATCTTTGCTAAAAGAGCTTTTTCATTTGTCTGATCAAATATTCTGAAGATGTAGTCCGTTCTGGGCTCTGTCGTAGTGGCTAAGGATGCAGAGATAGGTATTACCCTGTGGGTGGGTAGCAGGACATACACAGTCTAACTTACAAAACTTGGTTGCATTGTTACACTGGGACATGTGTGAAATGCCATTTTTGTAAAGTGAAAGCTATTGCCATATTGTTTGTTTTCACAGAAGATTAGAACAACCTCATGGGAGCCAGCATTGTGGCACAGAGTTTAAACCGTTGCTTGTAAAGCTGGTATCCCTTATCAGAGTGCCAATCGTCAGTCTTGGCGGCTCCACTTCTGACGCAGCTCCCTGCTAATGCGCCTGGGAAAGCAGTGGAGGATGGCCCAAGTACTCAGGCCTCTGCACCCACCTGGGAGACACAGATGGAGCTCCTGGTGTCAGCCTGGCCCAGACCTGGTAGTTTCGGCCATCTGGGGAGTGAAGAAGTGGAGGGAAGAGCTCTCCTTCTCTGCCTCTCCCTCTTGCCTTCTCTGCTTCTCTGCCTTTCAAATAAATAACTCATTTTAGAAAAAACAACCTAGGGTCTAGTATTGTGGTGTAGTTGGTTGAACTGCCTGAGATGCCACCATCGCTAGGAGCACTGGTTGAAATCCCAGCTGCTCCACTTCCAATCGAGTTTCCTGCTGATGTGCCTGGGAAAACAGCAGAAGATGGCCTTAATACTTGGGCACATGTGGGAAACCCAAATGAAGCCCCTGGCTCCTGGCTTTGGCCTGGTGCAGCCCTGGCTGTTACAGCCATTTGGGGAATGAACCAGTGGGTGGAAGATCTCTCTCTCTCTCTTTCTCCTTCTCTGTACACATTTCAAATAAATAAATCTTTAAATAATAATAATAATGAAATAAATAAAAACAACATAATGTTCGTAGGTCAAATCATGACGCATCCACAATGGAAATGGCTTCACTGTCACCAAAGAATCAGGAGGCTCTTTATGCACGGACGAGGAATGATCTCTTGGCTACTGTAGATGGTTAGGTGAAAAGATGCCTCACGGTCTATAGAACATGATATTGTGTGTACAGAAAAGGAACCAGATGTGCCTTTATAGCCCCAGACGTAGTCACAAGAAATTGACAACACTGAATGCTGCTGAGACGTGAGACTGGACGGCTGGAGTGGGAACCAAGTAGGAGGTAGGGACTTTTCATTTAATGTTTTTTGTAACTTTGGAATTTTCAGTTAGATGAGTGTATTGCCCATTCAAAAAATAAATAAAATATTCAGAAGGGATCATATTGGAAGGAAGACCATATTGGATCGTACTGGAAAATCTGGGAAGGTTTCAGATACTGAGTATTGTGCCCAGGAGTTTGGATTTTGTTCCTATTTAGGGGCCTCTGAATGCTTTTAAACAGAGCAACAAGATTTTCAAGTTTGAGCTTCAGAAGGTTGACTCTGCAGGATACGTGGAGAATGAAATGAGACAGATCAGTTAAGAAGCCATTGCAGGAGCCAGCACTGTGGCATACCAGGCAAAGCCGCTGTCTGCAGAGCCAGCATACCATAGATGCCGGTTCAAGTCTCGACAGCTCCACTTCCGACCCAGCTCTCTGCTATGGCCTGGGAAAGCAGAAGATGGCCCAAGTCCTTGTGCCCATGCACTCGTGTGGGAGACCCAGAAGAAGCTCCTGGCTCCTGGCTCCAAATTGGCGCAGCTTCTGCTATTGTGGCCAACTGGGGAGTAAACCAGCGGATGGAAGACCTCTCTCTCTCTCTCTCTCTCTCTCTCTCTCTGCCTCTCCTTCTCTCTCTCTGTAACTCTGACGTTCAAATAAATAAAAAAAAATTTTTTTAAAAAGAACCTAAGAGTACCTGGACTTTCTCAAGAATATAACATTCCAGGTGATGATGGAAAGGGGCGTTGCAGGGTCAGGCCCAGCAAGACAAGGCCAGCAGGTTATTTTAACGACTTATTTACCCTTGGGATCCCAGCTTGGGATGATCATCAGGGTCACCTAAAGGGCAAATGGCAACCACATCCAAAGAGGCTGCAGGCAGGACAGGAAGCTGGACCCCTCCAGGGATGGGTGAGAGTCCGTGGCCTCTCCTCTTAGGTCCCAGGTGAAGCAGATGCATCCTGGGAAAGGGGGTGTTTTGATTGACACATAGGAGGATAAAATTACACATAGGGGCTTACAACTTTCAGCTCAGCAGGCCTAAGCTAACTACCTGCCAGGCTCAGACAACCAGCAGGCCCCAACCACAGGGCTAGGTAAAGGCAGAACTGAACCTTGAACCCAAACTGACAGTAAGGCTGCTCTCTCTCCACTCTCCAGCTTCCTTTCAGTTGAAGAAGGTCAAGTTCCTCCTACCCTTTGTGATCTGCAGAGTCACCAGGTTTCCATGACCTGTTTTTGTTTTTTCTAAAGATTTATTTAATTAATTGAAAGGCAGTTACAGAGAAAGAGAGAAATACGGAAAGAGAGGTCTTCCATCCTCTGGTTCACTCCCCAAAAGGGCGCAATAACCAGGGCTGGGGCAGGCTGA